CAGCTTAATTGTCCTTGAATATTTTTTTTCCTTGGTTTTGTGTATTAGTGCATCAAGATTTTGCTTTGACCAGTTTAGAAATTGCAGATCAAATGCTGTAGCAGTAAAACAGCTTTTACCTACTCTGTAACTGATGTTAACTGCCCAAAGAATCATAGAATCATACAATCATTATGGTTGGAAGAGACCTCAGAGGTCATCAAGTCCAACCTTCTACCCAACACCACCATGCCCACTAAACCTGCTAAACCATGTCTCAAAGCACCACATCTAAACGTTTTTTGAACACCTCCAGGGATGGCGAGTCCACCATCTCCCTGGGGAGCCTGTTCCAATGCTTAACGACTCTTACAGTGAGGAAGTTCTTCCTCATATCCAACGTGAACCTCCCCGGCACAACTTGAGGCCGTTTCCTCCTCTCCTATCGCTAGTTAGCAGGGAGAAGAGACCGACTCCAACCTCCCTACACCCTCCTTTCAGGTAGTTGTAGAGAGCGATCAGGTCTCCCCTCAGCCTCCTTTTCTCCAGACTGAACAACCCCAGCTCCCTCAGCTGGGGACTTACCCTCCAGGCCCTTCACCAGCTTTGTTGCTTTTCATTGGACACGCTACAGAAGCCCAAATGTATTTGAGAAAACATGTAAATATGGGCTTCTACTCTGATATTTTGGATGGTGTCTGAGCGTGACCCCTTGCCTGTACAAAGAGGGGAAAGCTGTGCCGTGCAGTGGCAGTGGACTGTAGATGCTTGTTCTGGGTCATTGGATGAGGTTGCTATAAGTTGTGAAGCTCAGAGAAGATATAGGAAAATGACTCCTACCCTTGTGTAGTGAAAAGTAGTAGAGTTGTAGGAAGATGCAGCAACTGGAAATCTCATCTAGACAAAACTGTTATAGAAGAAAATAATAGGGCGGTAGAAGATTTGCTGTCAATTGAAATCAAGATTGGATGCCTTTCTAAACTGTGAACTGTAATTTGACCACAAGTTGTTTGTTCAGTATAATTACTGCGTGTCCTGCATTGTGCGGGAAGTCAGAATTATTACTTCCCTTCCTGGCCTTGGAAAATATGAGGCAAATCCTGATCTGAAATCAACTCCTAAACCATCAGTACACACAGGATCTGAACTGACAAATATATTTTACAAAGAAAAGTGTTGAAGATCATTTTTACTGGAGGCAAAATTCACAGACCTAACCAATCTGTAATTACTGTATTTGATAATTCTGTATAGGAGACATATTTAAATGTTTTTGTTTATGTAACTGTTTTTGTTTATATTTAATACCATGACTAACTGCTAACACCAATTCTTATACCATATTTATGTAATAAATAAGTAATGCACGCTGGAGAAGTTTTAGCAATGTTCATAATGCAGTAATAAAACATGTGGTACTTCAGCAGCTCCTTAGGTCAAATACCTGTCAGTGCAAAAGGAATTTGTTTTTCTGTTTTCAATTAAAAATGAAAATGCTTTTCTGAATTTCAATGCTAGACTAATATAAAAAGTGGGGTTTTTTTAATGGTCACAGCTTACAGCTTTGTCAGAGAGTCACAAAAGATGGAAGTGCATCTGCCAGAAGGGTGATTCATAGCTTCAGTAGAAAGCTTTGCTGAGATAACAAGCTTATAGAGTAGGAATTGGACAAAAAGATAGCACTTTTATTTTAAGAACTGTTTTTCACTGTGTTATTTCAGAGCATTCCTCAGTCAGACATTTGAGTTCCTCTTGGCCCTTTATAATTTCTAAAAATTTCCAAATTATTTCTGCTATGCTTCTTTTTTTAATGAAACGCATTTTTCAGAATACTGATGAGGACTTTGAAAAACTCAATTTTTACTTCTTTGCAAGAATAGAAAGATTAATCTATGACATCTTGCAAACGTCCAGTTGTTTTTGATGTTACATGCAGTCTTTTGAAAAGCAACGTATTTGCAATAGTAAATGATCTCTCAGTATTTGTTTTATTTATCTTCTGTATCAAGGCATGCATATACTTGTCTTGTTTGGCATCTGGTTTCCCCCGCTCAAGACTCATTCTGCCTTTACTGATGGTGTACATGTATGTTGGCTAAGATGAAGTCACACTAAGATCAGAGTTCGGCACAAATATAGCTGATCATGATCAATACTGAATGTAAAGACAGCTTTGTGGAATGAAGTATGCGTAACTGAATAATGCCCTAAGACATGTTGCTTACTGTAAATGCTTATAGATTTTATGGCAGTCATTCCTGTATATTTAAAAGCTTTGAGTAAGAGAAGATGACTATGTCTCTGAAAAATGTTCTGCACCAGCAGCTCTCATTGAAGATAATGATGAAGCATAAATATTGAATGAGTAGCAACTTGTAGCCTTATTGGAGGCTAGAACAGACAGAATAAGCATTCCCAAAATGTCAGTGTATTTTGAATTTGATAGACAGGGAATGTATCCTTGAGTACCTTTGTGACTAGCAAGTCTCTAAAACCAAGGAGAATTCAGAAATGAGGAGCAGTTCCTCTAGATTCCTGATTAATGAGACAAAGTGAAATGGGTTAAATAAATACGTTGCTGGTCAGGTGGCAACTAAGAGGGAAGAGATGCATTGGAACTTAGGTATATTTGGTGAATGCAGGACCAAAAAAGAAGTGGAATTAAGTCCAGTAGTATAATGCATGGATAATTTGAAGCAAGGAAATGAAACTAAGAGAATGAGAATTTAACTGAAACATAATAAAATTTCCTAACTGGTAGGATTATGTGAAATGTTTTTTTTCAGTGGAGATAAAGGTAAAACACAAGTTCTTGAGACTTTATTGTTATAGTATATTACAAAGCTTACTGTAGGAATGGAATGGAATATATGATACGGAGATTATATCTGCTTGGCAGAAGGGTCCAAGGACCTTCAGGAACTTCCCTCATTTCTGTAGGAAATACTAATTGCTCACTGTCAATGGAAAGACTTCTTGCTTCAGTAAGAATTGGATTTCACTCTGATTCCGAGATGTTTATGAAACAGAAATAGGGTGATTTATACTGTGCTTACACAGGAAAGCTTAAAAGGAACCAAAGACACAGAGATGTGTTGTGAAACAGAGTGAGAAGATGAAACTAATAGGAACTCGACAACCCTGATCATTGACTGGCAAAAATCACAGGTCAGTTGGCAGAGAGGAAAGCAGACAAAACAAGATGTTCCCCAATGCTGATAGAAATATGGACAGAATACAATCCAGTGTGAATTTCAGTCAGCTGGAGCCAAGCCGTAACACCAGCCCTGAACGTGCTCGGATGCTGCGGAAGTTTGAATCTGGGTCAAATCCAAACACAGCTCTGTCAGCTTCTTTTAAGTTACAACAGTTTATTTTGTATGCAGCATCTTGGCGATTTTTTTTCTTTTCCAACCTTGGATCCACCCAAAAGGTCTGAGAAGTCTTAAAGTTTATAGCCTTTGGCTTGTGTTGGCAATCAGAATGAGAAGTGAGTGCTGATAAATTGTTTAATAAAATGCTATAGAACTCTAGTTCTGGCAGTTAATGGTATTATACCCATGCCACAAACCCCCAGTGAACGAACAGGTACAACTTCTCCTTTTTTATATTCTTTTCACTTTACAGCATCGAAAGGGCAGATTTCAGGCAGCACATCTCTGCTGAATATCATACTTATTCTTTGTATTCATTCACCCTTTCATGTTGAATCTCACTATGTAAAGGAAGAAGTAATCTTTTAGACGTTTACAATCAAATCCCCCAGCAGAAAAACTTCTTTTATTTTTTTAAATGTATTTGTTTTGCTCTTTCAAAGTAACAATAGTTTGGGATTTTTTGTTCTATCAAGAAATAGTTCTTCTTAAACATCTCTTAGAATCAAATCTATTTTTTTTTAAAAATCGCAAACTCTCATACACATCGTGGAAGAAGCAGCTTTGTCAATAGAACAAAACTGTTTATAGGGCGTACTGACATATGCTACTGGTAACTCTATGCCCTTAGCTTTGGAACTCTGCAAAATATATTACAGTGAAAGAACTAGATAAATTATGATTTCCTGCTAGTTCTGTTTCAGCATCTAACACATCTACAAAGCATCTAACTTCTTGTCTTAAATTTAAAATTATGTGGATTTTTTTTTTACTCTTAGGTTTTTTTTCCAACATAAGTTTCTTACTTGATAGAAATATTGGGAGATCCCAGTTTTTCCCAAAATAATCAATTATCTGATGTTATTGATATTAGTACTGCAACTACATTAATACTAATTATGGAATTGATTTTTTTTCTTTTTTTCTCAATGATTTGATCATCCAGAACAATTGCCTTTCTGAATGTTTTCCTTTTCTGTTCACAACAGCTGTGAATTCAGTGGAGCTCTGTACGTTTATAAGTATTTGCGTAATTAGATAGCAATTTATTATTAGTATTAGCTTTTTAAAAAAAAAATATCAGTGAGTTGTTCAGTGTGCTGAGAAGATGTACTTTACAGCTCCGTCCTGGCAGAGTGAGTGGAATGGTGGTATATGTCAGTTTACTAAATCACTCCGAAATGTCATGTTGCTGTGATTTGCCAAATAGGCTTGCAGCCAGATTTTCTCTCCCCTTTTTCTGTATCTCTGGACCTACAGGGAGCAGGTCATTTAAAGTTTTCACATTGAACATGGTAGATGTAATAATATTATACTCCCATTTTTTATGTTGAAAACCAAGTGCAAAAACCATTCCTTTTCACTAAATGTGTGGAATGAAAATATTCACTGCATTTTGGACAAGATGGCAAATGCCATTTTTAACAGAGCAAGTGGTATTAGAGGTAAGCAGAAATTGCCAAAAAAATATTTTTTAAACATTGTAAGATTTGGTGTTTACTCTCTAACTTGGTTAGTCTTTTTTTTTGTTATATCCACAGGTTGTTCGGTGTCACTTCTCTTACTCAGACAAACTGCTCAAGCACTTGGATGATCATCAAAAATCAGGAGTTACATTGGTATCACCATGCTAATCCAATCTTACTCCTGGTGATGTACTACACCCTCGCAACTCTTATCCGTCTCTGGCTGCAGGAGCCCGTTGTAAGGGTAACTTCCTTCTCTTTTTTAGCACTAATGACTAATGACTGTGAGATTGGCCAATGCAGATACTTGCTAACACAGGTGCAAACATTCAGGAAAGTTAAGGGGAATAGACAGCAGGTGCAAGCTGGTACCTTGAATTCAGTCTTTTGATAAGTGTCTTCAGGAGTCTGCTCTTGCAGGGGTTACATTGATACTATTCTTACAATCAGTGGGACTCTTTATATAAGGAATGCAATGGCAGAACATTAATGCTTACTTTGCTTTGGAAAGCCAGTATTGATATGAAGTAGTGTAGGTGCTATCGAATGGAAGGCAAACACCCAAGGCTCATCTAGCAGAACTGAGGTAGGATACAGGCTGGCACAGGATACTGTAAGACAAGACAGAGATTTGCAGTTTTATCACAGATGGAGGAAGATTTTTGTAAAACCTTTCCTTCTGAATCTGTGTGCCTGAGTGAAAAATCCTAGCTTTAATTTAAGAGCAAGAGAAAAAGGAGACAAAAAGTAAATTTTTACTTCTTCTGGTTTCAGAGGAAAAAGGGAATGTAAGAACCCAAAGGTATCTTAAAAGCTTAGAAACTGGAATTATTGAAAGGATGATCCTAAACATTATTTATTTTAATCTCCTGATCCTCTGAGGCTTGGCATGAGTTTTGGAGTTCAGATTTAGCAGTGCTGTAAACCACAATGAAAATACTTGTGACTGAGCTGTCAGTTAATGAAGTTCATAGTAGCAAGTAAAAATGTTGAAGGTTTTCTTATTTTAAGGGTGTTTCTTCGTATAATGGATAATGTAATGGTTTAACATTTTAAAAGGCAGACAAAATACATCACCTCTGAATTGAGATGTCTGATATTTGGGGTTTACATATATGGGGCTTCAAAATAAAAGATGAATGATGCCAGAACTGTCAGCTTGAGTTACTAAAAAATCATGCCTTAAGTTTCCAGAAATCTTAAGACTGGTCCAGTGCCCTCTGGCATTGGGTTCTTTTAGGGTTTTTTTCCTATTTTTTTTTTTTTTTTTCTGCAGCCACAGCAGCTGGAAACATGGTTTTTCCTTTTTTTTTTTTTTTTTTTCTGCAGCCACAGCAGCTGGAAACATGGGGTTTTTTCTTTCCTTAAGTGAAAACTGAGATTTCCAGATAATAATATGATTTTAGCATTGGGGCTGTAACTAAAACTTCACATCTCACAAACTGCATCGTAAAATCATGAGAACTACTCACTGAGGAGTAACTACATGTGAAATGCAGTTAGTGGGAGCTGTCTGATCTCAGCATCTCTGGGAATTCGTTTCCAGTACCCAGGTTGTTTTCATCCAATTTTCACCATCTAAAAGTTTTGTGCTGGGTCTAAGTTAGTTACTGTGATTTTCCAGTGGAGAGGAACAGGCCTGTCTTGTCTCAGGATAGAGTGAATCCTGCAAGTTGCTCCAGGGACTAGAGAGGAACAATAGCGCACTTGCCTGCACTTCTTTCTTTTAGACTACTTATGTTGTCTGAGATGGATATTCCCATAAGACACTAAAATCAGTCTCTGAGAACTGGAAACAAGTCAAATTAGAGATGCTTTCTAAGCAATTGAGCTAAAGCAAGTAAGTATTAAAAGAGATCAATGTAAGCAAAGTTGATGTCTCTCAAACCCATGCCTACATGAGAGGCAATGCAAAGTTTTGGCACTCCCATGGGAACTTCAGATACCAGAGGAATTATGCTTCCCACTGAAGATAAATGGCACTTAAAAAAGACAACATTGTAAAGAAAACGATAGCTATACATTAATGCTTATTTTTGATGCACATGATGTAGTGATGCGAGTATTTGTCATTAGAAAAAAATGTTGAGATTTGCGAAATTTACCATATTTTACATGCTTTCTCCTTATGGCTTTTTTTTGTCTACATACATTTTGTGTTTTCTTTAGTGATGCTGTAGATCAGGAACTAATCTTTCTCTTACTAGCTTTCTCCTGGTAGGCTCCATTCTCAATTACTTAAATCCAGAAATAATTGTATTCTCGGTTTCACTGAAATAGTTTTTGACTTGTGAATTTGTGGTGCATTTGATTTATTATGGAACTAAGTATATAACCTACCTTTGTAATCCCCAGTGATTTCAAAGTTACACTGTATTTGGGATCTCACCACTAACCTACCTGTATTTGGTTGGATGGCAAAGACAATATGCTGTGTGCTGTTTAGTGTGAAGCAGTTGTTCTCTGCATACTGCTGTGATGTACAGTATCTCATCTTAGAAATTTTATTCAAAAGAATCTCTTGAACAAAACCTGTTCTGAACAAAATAGGTATGATAGATTATGCATAAGGAAATATTTATTTAGTCTAAAAAGATGTACATAAGGTAAATGTAATACTGACGTAGCAGATTCTGAAAACAGAGCAAGAGATGTAGACCTGGTGTTTTTTCTTTCTTATGTGAATTGCATCTTGGGGTCCTCCTGTTTGCTGGGTTGCAGCAGGAGTTGTCTCTGAGACAGATGCTCTTGAGACTGTCTCTGGATGGTGCAGCTGATGAACAGTTTTACAAGAACAATGCCCACTTCAATTCTTGAGTTTCAAGGTGAAGTTTTTTGTGCATGCACCACAGTCTGTCAAAGTATGACATGTATGAGATTTTGGTGTACGGTCTCTGTGTGAGATTTTGTATGGATCTGAGTCATGAAAAACGCCCTTGGTGGTCAGTGGAAGTTTTGCTTTTCTTGTGCCAGCTGTTTTGGATCCTGACTTGTTCTAACATTGTGTCTTGTGAAATTCTGCCTCTGCAAATAAGGGGAGACAATCTGCCTCTGGAGGTTTCAGCTCATAGTTGTAACTACCAATACTGAATATATGAATAGGGCCCATTCATTCTGTCCAGTAGGTGGTAAGAAATAGTACGGAAGTCAAGAGAGTTACAGCAATTTAATGTAGAGTCCTCTTCTAGAGTTTTTAGAATTGTTTGAATTAAGAGGTATTTGAGAGTTACCCAGGCAGTGGAAGAACAGGAAGAATTAAGACAAGTCAAAGGGTTCTCACAAGTTGTAATCATATGACTAGTACTGTGTTTTCTGACTTTTCTTCCTCTTCTGAGAAAGAAAAAACATTTCCCACCCTTCCCTATAGTCTCTTCAGCTAAAAATGTTACTAAAATCACTGTCTACATCTCAGGTCTTTTGGTATCGTTCTGGTCACCCTGGTGCCAAACTAAATGCTGTTGATAAACAGGTCTTTATGGTCCACATTTATATTAAAGTTTCAAATGGCAGCAACAAGTATTTTAAGCACAGAATCAGTTTATTTCATGTTACAGTTTGGCTAGGAATGCCCTTTTACAATCAAATATAAATACACAATCGTATGTGAAATGTGCTACCATTGCCTCTGAGAAGTAAAACAAAATTAATAACCATTGTTTATCTAAGTCAAGATTTAAAAAATCCAGCATCCTGATTTATTCTTATTCTATTGCATCAGCTGATTTTGCATAAGCAATGAGAACACTTACCACCAGCTCGTTCCCATTACAAGCCTAATTTGGGACCCTGCCTTTGAAACATTTCAAGTTCAGACAAAAACTAGCTTTTACACCATGAGATATCTCTTTGTTGGCAGTAGACAGAGTTTAAGTAAAACAGCAAGTACTGGGGCAGATGGTTATTTCTGTTGCAAACCAAACGTCAACTTAGTAAGACTTCATTTGAAGAAGAAATACAAGTGTCTGCTAAGTAGAAAGGACAAAATAGGCAAGAGAAAAAAATTAAGTCCTTACAAACAGACCATTAAGATTGAAATAAAATATGACAATTAGTTGACTTGACCAGTTGTTTTGTAATTAATAACACAGTAAGTTCAGAATAATGCTACTAAAGCTGGTGTGTAATCTCTATTTTGGCTGCAGCTCAGCAAAGTTCCTGAACCTCCACTTAAGTCCTACTGAAGTCAGTAAGACCTTGCCCCAGGTTCCAGATTCTACAAGCACTTGTGTACTTTGCTGAGTAGGGGTGGCTTTATGAAGCAAGACCTTTCAGTTGTAAGAACGAGGATTTGGCTCGATACTCTAAACAGCTAATACCAGTGGAGCTTGTGATGAGAGGAAGTAGAATTTTGGTAATTCTTTGAATTTGATAATTCAAAGTTTGTTGGGCTTTGGTAAGTTCAACAGCAATGTGGAACCCGATTCAAGCACTTTACGTTTCTTACTAGAATCGTGTGTGTATTTAGTACTACAGCACTTTTTCACGTACAAAAGAAGTACTTCGAAGCATAGGTGAGTCTACCTTTCAATCCTCACCATTCCTACTAGTTTTGAGATAAACATCCAGGCATTAATGGATTGCAGAGTTGAATAGCCACTGATACTATTATTCTACAATATTCACTTTATGTTCTTGCATACCTTCCTCTGAAATTTTGAATACTTATTATTTCCATCAGAGCCAAAAATCTGAAAAAACCACATGAAGTCTTGGGAGGTGAGGAGAAACCAGAAAACTAAGGAAATAGAGAGGGTAAATAGTAATGAAAATAAAAAGTAGGGTCAAGGTCTAAGGTGCAAAATGAGAAATTGGGCAGAGAGCAGAGTAACTTCAGTAGTGGCAGCTTCTCCCTGATGGTATCCCGGGGCCAGTGAGTCCTGCTGAGCCACACTGCAGGAGATGCTCACAGATTTCACTTGCAGCCTGCTGGCCCCAGAGTACCCCTTCCTCCCTTTAGCACCACAGGGTTAAGCTTCCTCCTCTCAGTGATATGCACAGCAAGGTTTTGCTGCTTTGGGACAGCTCAGATGGGAGGTTCAAGATTGCAGGAGAAAGGCACGGTACAGGAGGAGGTCTGGAGGAGCCCAAAGAGGAGCTGTAACCTAGCATGATTTAGGTACATGCACCCGGGTCTCCCACTTGTCACTGTGCTATAATAAGATCCGTATTATGTCTGTTTGAGAGGCCCCATACCCCTGCTGGGTCATGGAATTAAGACCGAGTTAAGACGGGTGCATTAGCAATCCTCTTCAATTTAGTGGTCATAGTTCTGTCACAGATGAAGAACTAGAGCATGCAGATCATAGACAGTCACAGAACAGTCCAGGTTGGAAGGGACCTCTGGAGATCATCTGATGCAACTTCTTGTGAGATCAGGAACTCAGATTAGGTTGTCCAGGACCAAGTCTTGGATGTTTCCAGCAAAGGCAGCCAATGCTGGTGATGAGTACCTCTGTCTTCTCTAAAACTACAATTTAGGTATTGGAAGGCCGAAAAAAACCTAATTCCTGCATCCTTCAGCTTCTCCAACCCTCTAGTCATCTTGGCAATTTTCTGCTGGACCCTCTCCAGATTTTCTGTGTCTCTCTTGAATTGGGGGATGCCAGAACTGAATTGCAGGTATGGCCTGATGCAGTACAGTGGAATAATCACGTCCCTTGACCTGCTGGCAGGACTCTTGCTGATGCAGTCCAGGACATGTTGGCGTTCATTGCAGCCAGAGTTAATTGCTGGCTGATGTTCAGCTTGCTGTGCACCAGGACCCCCTGGGCCTGTTCCAAAGAGCTGCTTCCCACAGTCTGTCCACAGCCTTTACTGTTATGTGGGTTTATTCCAGATGCAGGACTTTATCTTTCTTAAACCTTGTGCATTTTTTGTCACCCCATCTCTAGCCTATCTCTGTACGGTTGCTCTTCCTTCTGACCCATCTACCTCACCTCCCAGTTCAGTGTCATTGACAAACTTTATGTGGGTGCAGTTCCATCCAGATAGTTCTGAAGATATTGAATGGTGCTAAACCTAGTGCCAGTCCCTGAGGAACTCTGGTCATGTCCAGCTACCATTTTGATTTTGAGCCATTGTCCTACTTTGAGCAAGACAGTTTGGCTAGTTCTCCACCCATCTTGTGGTCCATCTGTCAGGTCCATATCTTAGCAGCTTGTCCCCAAAGATGTTGTAGGACAGTGTGTCAAAGATGCTAAAGTCACTGTGACTGACATCCACAGCTCTCCCTTTATCCACTCAGCCAGTTGTTTCAGCATAAAAAAACATCAGGTTACCCTTGGTAAATCCATATTGACTTTTCAGTCATCTTGTCCTACATGTGAGCATGAGCACACATAGGTATTTTTATGGCTTGACTCAGAAGGAAGACTAGATGAACCTAGATGGATGACCAGCACCAACTACGTGTTGAGGCATGGATTGGTGAGTTAGGTTAGCCTTTAATGGTAGATATGTATGCTCAAAAGGCTTTGATCTTTTCAGTTCTTCAGCTGTTTAGTGAAACAGAATTGGCTTTTCATTTATATAGACAGATGAGAAGAGTGAATTTTCTTTCAATATAGTGCCTTGAAAATTAAACATCTGTATACTAGCTTACAGTATGACTATATAGTAAGGTAAGGTAGTATGTGGAGGTCTGTGTAATTCTAGTGTCCTGTAACTGTCAGGAAACATCTTGGTATTGACGGACTGGCAGTTACAGAAAAGCTCTGTCATCATTTCTGAAACTGTCATCTCAGTAACAGGCATCTATCGTAGATCGAGTGCATTAGACACTAAAAGATGTTTCAAAGATGTACTTTGGAGAGGGAGCGTCAATTAGGGGAACGTTTAAATTCCTCTCGTAAGATTGTTATTTAGAGAGCTATAACTAGTATTGTGATTTGTATTGTTCAGCAGATGCCTGACGAAGAGAAATCTGTTAGCAGGGAAGATGACAAAGAAATAGCCTGCAGCCCAATTCCAATGACAGCAGAGAGAAGACGCAGTCTGTGGTACGCAAGCCACTATACAACTGATGAGAGAAAAGTAAGGCTGGAGGGGGAAGGGTCTCTGTATTAATTGTATTTCAGTCAATTAATTTTATCACAGTTACTTTGAAGTTAAGGGAAGCAGCATTATATAGGTTGCAAGTCAGAAGATCTTCATGTGTGATTATATAAAATCAGATGCAATATCAAGGCTGTGTGGCAGAGTAGGAATATATTTTGTAAAAATTAATAAAACAAAAACAAGAGCCAGTGTAACGAAGTAAAGGAAGAGCCTGCTCTGTGTTTTCAGATTCCACATTTAAGAAGTTTAGGGCTAGGCTTTTGGCGTCAGGCTGTTATCTTTGTGCAAAACAGCTAGAAAGTCTGTGAGGGAGCTAAATCCTGATGTAAAGATCTGATCTGCCTTGTAACTACTAACTAGCACTGTCATTGGTAAGGGCAGACTGCCAGCTTATCTTCCTCCAAGCATACTGGTATCCTTGTTGGATATTTATGGCAGGGAAGTTAAGGTAGTTGGTGTAAAAAGTCCTGGAAAGGTCCAGCTTTCTACCACCTGTCCTCACCAGCTGCAGTGCAAAATTTCCTTTGACGAATTGCAGTCAAATTTGGGATATACAAACACTCTTGAGCCACATATACTCAAGCCCCAGAACTCCGCTATAAAAACAGTAATGGTAAATGAGCTGGCAAATGAATGAAGTATCACATTTTATATTGATATGAACATTTAATTGGAAGTATTTTTATGATTACAGTAATTCTAATGATCATTTAAAAACTTAGGTTTTAATCGTTGGATCATTAGAAAGACATTAGAAAGCAGTTAATCAGTATAAATGCTATACTGATTAATTCTTTGAGCTAGTATCTAAAATTTCAATGCAACATTCTCAGTTTTGGTTTAGAATTCACAGGAATGTACAGTAAAGTTATGTCAATGCTATGGCACACTAAGTATCATTTTATGGAGCATAGTCTACAATTCTGCTGGCTTTTTAAGAATTCTTTCCGAATTTCTTGGTGCAAGTCTGCAAAAGTCAGCAAATATGCATGCATGTATTCAAAAAGTTAGACTTACTAATGCTTGAGCCATGCTTCTTTAATAATTTGTCCTTGCATTGCTTTTTGCAGCTTCTGTCAGTGACCCAAGATGAATACAAGCCATCGGATGTTAGTATACTACTAGTCTTTGTAATTTTGTAATTCTTCTTCATGTGTGTCAATACAGATTACGCTGATATAAACAGATAAAACCTTAGATGACATTCTTAAAACTTCTTTATTTTAGTTAGGCTGTCATTTACCCTATAACCTTGATTATCCTAAATATAATTGTCTTTTGTTTCCTTCATAATTGCACTGAGGAACCACTGATGAGCCCTAAAATTGATCATTTGAAATTACACTGCTTGTAGTAGCACCAACTGGCAAAACAATCTTTGCTATTTCGTTGGGTTTAAATAAGATATCAAAATATGCTTTCTAATGCAAGCCATCTCTAAACTTGTTTTAGCTTCTTTGCTGTATTTTTTTTCATTCATGTTGAAATGACTGACAACACGTATGAGTTCAATTTACAGATTACAGAAAATCCAAGTCTTTCTTTGAACAGACAGCAAATGATCCATTTATCTTGACAGCTATAGACTCTAGCAGACTCTGAAAGCAGAAGCGTCCCCTCTGTTCAGCATACACAGAAAAATGGAGATGCAGATGAACTTTGGCAGCAGCTATAACCAAATCTAAATGTGCTCCAGATCCTGTGCTTGGTGTAGCTGCTGAATATAACTGAACATAACCTAGATACTGTTCTGAAACAGTCCACACATGCCTCTGCATACTTTTGACAGGCAAAATGTACTCCTATCTCACAGCCTAAGCACAAGTCAGTCTTCAGCATGTACTACCATCAGTAACCCATTGCATGCAAATTTCAGCCAGTACAAGAGATATTTATGATTGTGGTTGCTGGAGCCCTAATCCAAACAAGCACAAGGGCTGAAATTTAAGCCACAAAAATAAAATGAAAGAATGTTGAGTTAGTACTACCAAGTGGCATAAGTGTGGCATAGGTAACAATAATTACCACAACTGGTTTTATTAACAGCAGCAAATGTAGATCTCACTGGTGGTAATTTAAAATTGAAAATAATTTATAACCATTATTTTCATAACTACTGTAAATAACTAGATGTGAACTAAAGTCTGAAAATCTCGACATATTAGTTTGCCTAACAAGGAGGACGAATTTTTGGTTACAGCTTTAATTTAAACACAGGAGATAATAATGATACTTTCCTAGCTTTGCTGTAAAAAGCCAATTTAACCTGGGAAAGGCAGGATGCCTGAAGATAGGCTCACTGAGTTACTGTTTGTGCACTGTGCTGTGTGGTCAACCTTAGCCTTCCCCAGCTGTGGATGTGTTAACTTAAGTCCACCTTTACACTGTTTTTCCATTTAATTTCATGGCCAAGAGCATGCGAACAGTCATTTACCATGGCTCAGCCAACTGTCGTAACTTAGTTGCTTTTGCTTGTGTATCCACACTTCCATTCCTTTTCAGACTGCTTGTGTGTAAATTGAAGTGTTACCTAATGCAATGTGACATTCTGGGAATTTGAAAAAAAACTTGAAAACTTTTAAAGGAAATACTTACGAAAGTTCAAAGTTGCAGCAGCATTTTACTGTTTGCTAAAGAACTTAACTGAAACAAATTTATAATTCTATTAATACTGCATAAAGAACTAACAATTAATTCTGGAAGCTGTTACGCGCTACTTTTGCATGCAACGTGACTATAACATACCAGTTCCTTTGGAAGGAAATAGCCGCAGTTACTTGTTAAGCTCCTTTAACACTGGCAATCCAACAGTAGCGAAGCACAGAAGTAGGAGTCCCATTCTCCGAAGAACCACCCTAAATGCAGTGCCTCTCTTTGATGTCCTGGCAGGTGTTGCTGGTGACAGTGAACGGGAGCCCCGCTGACTATCACACCATCCACCCCACACTACCATTAGAAAATGGTCCGGCCAAAGCAGACATGTACTCAACACCACAGTACAAATGGGAGCCTTCGGATGACATGTCAGGTAGTGAATTGCCTGGGAATTACCTTTAGTTCTGTATTTTTTCTTACTCTGTATCTCCGGTCACTGCCTGTAGCATTTATTTTCGTTTTCGTAAGCTCTTTGGGCTGTTGAAGTTAGGTAATTGCTGTCACCTTACAATGGTGGCTGACCATACGGCAGTTTTGTAAACTGGACTGTAGGCACATATCACCCCAAATACTTCGCCTACCAACACAGGGATTGCGGGTTTTGCGTTGCTTTACTGTGCTCAGATGTAATCTTTCTCTGGCTCCCACCTTGAACTTGCTGATTGCCGTAGAAGTAACCATCAGAATGATTACAAGTGAAATCATTCCAGGAGAGAGTGCATATACTACTTTTAGACCAACATGAATTGCAATAAGACTTTCTTTTTCTACTTAGAAAAGGAAGAGGAGGAGGAGGGAGAAGAAGAGGAAATTACTCAGGAGGAAAAAGAAAATGTTAAATTACATGCCCTTGTCTCTGTGTTCCAGTTTATCATGAAACAAAGTTACATTTGTGCTCTGATAGCTATGATGGTGAGTACTGGCAACAAAAAAAATAATGCTGTTAATTTTACAAATAAATGTGTCTTCTCAATGTTTTCCTGAGAGTAATCTCATCGGTTGGTTTTCAGTAAGTGTTTGCATCAAGGTTAAAAAATATCAATATGGTGTCTGCATCATTTTGGGTCCATTTTAGGTTATTGATGCATAATTCGCAGGTCTGTTACAGACCTATAAATAGGGCAACACGTGGAGTTCTGGGTAAAGCATCACATTTCCAGGACTGGGAGCCATGGGTTTTGTTCTCTGTCGAATGTCAAAAAAACACTGGGGCTCAGTTTATTGATTCCCAAGCTTCTGCATAAGCTGGCTTGTCATACTTTTGCTTCACTCAGAAATTTGCGCACAAAATTAAAACATTTCAGAGTGATATAGTAAATTTTAAAAATACAGTTCCTATTTCAGGTTGAAGCATGCATCCAGTTACTCTCTGAGAAGAAAAGATCTGTAAAGCCTGATTTCCTATATTGACACAGAAAGGCCTCAGGGAGAATACAACTTTGTGCCAAGCAAGATTTTGCTATTGTTTTGCTTACCACTCTTATTTCTCTTTCTCATGTTGTTGCTTGCTTTTAAGGCCACTCAGTGCAAATACCTTGAGCTGCACTATAGCAAGTTTTCAGCATAATGATTAGATCTCTCTCTATATTCCCAGTGCAAGCTTTGGTTTTACTGTTTTGGAAAGATTTCAACTGTGATGAAATTAACCATAAAGCTTCTTGGCCCAGTTTTGCATTAAAAATGGTAAAACAAATTAGCTTGGCTGCTTCTTGTTTGCATAAAGTTTCAAACTTTATTTGCAGTCCTCTAACAGGAAAAGTTTCTCACCTAAATAAGGCAGACTCCTTGTGCAGAATCTGGATCTGGCTTGCTGCAACCTGAGACATTAGCAAGTAGTTGTTTTCATATTGACACAATGCCTCTTTTTCCTTTTTTTTTAAACTCACATGCTTCATATTATCTGCATTTCCTTTTTAATTAATTTCTAGGGTCATGTCTCTCAATATCAAAGGAGAAGATATATTTGAAGAGCTTCCTTGTAGTTTAATATTGAGACACTACTAGCTTTTTTCTTGGTGATATACACCTATTTTATATGACTCAGATTCATTTATTAATTTATTTATTGTGTGATCTGATGCAAGTTCTACTTATACCATAGCCAAAGACAGCTCAGTGTAGATTATTTTCTTATATGCGAACATAGAAATAGCATATTGGTGTTTTTCACGTAGCCTTAAAAGACATCATTTCTAAGGGGGGCTGAGCTAAACTGATTGAAATGTTCTTGATGTTTCATACTTTTCTATTTAAATTGAAAAGGAATCTAAAATATTTTATTGACAATTATTCCACTGTTATACCAGCATATATATAGCTAAATTTAGTCGTAAATAGATAACACAGTGTTAATAAAAACCACTTAAAACCCTGATCCTTTTCCCTAAGTGTTTAATAGAGCAGTTTTCAGTAACTGATTTCTGCAAGCTGTAGAAAACATTCTGTAGTTGTGAGTATTTCCAGTAGTCTAACATGGTTAGTGTAGACTAAATGTTCTTCAGGTTAGGTGTGTGCAGCTTGTGCATACCGTAACTTTCCATTTTAACTTGATTCCACAAAAGCTGGAACAGTATGGAGTTAGCATAGTTTTGTAACTCTGTTGAAGGCATTGATTGTAGTAGCTATTGAGTATGTTTTGCTGTTCGTACTCTGAATTCTTTGCTGCTAGTTTAGCAGGAAGGTCTTGTGTGCCCAAAAGTTAGTCTGTATTTTCCATATCTTTTACTTTGGTGTAATGAGAAGCAATGAGTCTGCTTATAAACGTTACCAAGGTGCAATTAATGCACAAAGCAGGGTTCACTGTCAGCTGTGGACTTCTTAAGAATCCACTTTCTGCACGTTCTCCAAGGGGTTTATTGTAGCTGGCCCAGTAGCTATTTAATACAGGTTAGAGTCTCGTGACAATGAAAACGTGCGCTGAGTAGAGAGGCATAACTGGCAATATGCATCAGTGTTGTTCCTGAATGTATCTGTGAACGTTTTTTCCTCTTTCCTCCTTTCCCAAGGCGTGGAGTATCACGTATCACAGCTGGTTGACCTTTGTGTTACTGATCTGGTCTTGTACATTGTGGATGATTCGGGACAGAAGGAAATACGCCATGATCAGTTCACCATTCATGGTTTTCTATGGAAATCTACTGCTAACATTGCAGTATATATGGAGTATTGAGCTCAAGAATGATGAGCTTCCTCAAGTATCTGGTTTTTTAGAAAGAAAGGAACCTGGGGAGTTGGCATCAAAGGTAGGTGTTGCAAACAGCTGAGATTTATTTATGAAAGCACAAAATACGTTGTGATAAGAAGTGTGGATCTCTTGGTATTTCTTTAAGAGAGGATCCTCAGTACTTGGTATATATTCAGTCCAGTCCTACAATAAAGGATAAAGGATTAAAAAATAGTGTTCAGAAAATTGTTTCTTGTTTGTTAAGCTAATACCAAAAAAAAATGTTTCAGACATCTTTGTAGATTTTCATGATAATTCTGCAGAAATTTCTTAGTGGATGGAAATTGCTCACTTCTTTGGTTTTATAAACTGAATGGAAATCCAGATGTGATTTGATTTGTTAGGTTAATACCCATGGGATATCAAGTCTGTCTCTCAGTATGATGGCAATTGGAACTGTGGTGTCATTGCAATCATGTATACTACTCACTCCCTTATGATTTTGCACAAGCAGCGGTATATAGCTGTGACTGAGCTTTAGTTTTTTATCCTTACACCTGAAGCAGCATAAGTTGGAATCCATTTCAGGTCAGAAACAAGAGAGTTTGTTGACCTCCGTGCATGATAGAATTATTGGGTTTTTTTGATGTCTTGAAAGCACTACAAAATGCATTTTGTTTGGCAGGTTGGCTTCTGGAGGACGGAATGAGCATAAATAGGAAGTTGTTTCCTAGAGCACCCAGGAGGGGTATCTCAGAGAGTGCATCTAGTTGGCACTGCTCCCGTTGCACTCAGTGAATCACTTCCCTTATGACTCCTAATTACCATTTAAGGTGATTCTGCAAGTGATTTTCCTTGTTGGCAGTGCCATTTGGACAACCACTTCTGGGTCTTTAATGCATTTGAAAATTAGTGAGTGCTGTATTATTTCTTTTGTAAAGGTAGGGCTAGTTTAGTAAGAGAGGTAAAGCTCAAGGGGTTCTGCAACAGAAGTTCTACAGTTTCTCTCAATGACTTTGTAAATCTCTAAGGAGTTTTAACTGTCTTAATACCTTAGCCCCTTTGACATTGTTTCTTATTAGCTGTATCATCAAATATCTTATCTAAAACTAGCTGATGTCAAGAAAGGAAACTGTTCTGTATATATAATGATTTGGCAACACCCATAAAACTAATAGAAGATGTCTAGTGGGGTTTTTTTAGGCTGAGTATAATGCACTCCATAAATTTCACAGAATCACAGAATGGTTGAGGCTGAAAGAGACTTCTGGAGGTCGTCTGGTCCAACTCCCCTGCTCAAGCAGGGCCATCTAGAGGTGCTTGCCCAGGGCTGTGTCCAGATGGCTTTTGAATATCTCCAAGACTGGAGACTCCACAACCTCCCTGGGCAACCTCTGCCGGTGCTCAATCACCCTCACAGTAAAAAAGTGTTTCCTGATGTTCAGAGGGAATCTCCTGTGTTTCAGGCTGTGCCCATTCCCTCTGGTCCCATCACTGGGCACCACTGCAAAGAGCCTGGCTCCGTCCTCTTTCCACGCTCCCTTTGGGTATTTCTAGACATTGGATGAGATTCCCGCTGAACTTTCTCCTCTTGAGGCTAAACAGTCCCAGATCTCTCAGCCTTTCCTCATAGGAGAGATGCTCCAGTCTCTTCATCTTCATGACCATTCACCTGGAATCTCTCCAGTATGTCTATGTCTCTCTTGCACTGGGCCACCAGAATGGGACACAGCACTCAAATTGTGGCCTCGCCAGCACTGAGCAGAGGGGCAGGATCACCTCCCCTGACCTGCTGGCCGTGCTCCTCCTAACACAGCCCAGGACACCACTGTGCTTCTTTGCCGCAAGAGCTCATTGCTGACTCATGTTCAGCTTGGTGTCCACCAAGACCCCCAGGCCTTTTCTGCCAAACTGCTCTCCAGCCAGTCAGTGAACCTCACGAAATCAGGCCTTTGAGTCCTTGTGAAATCATCAACGGACAATCTGTCAAGTCTCACAAAATTTACCCTGAGATGCATCCTAATTCAATGGGAGATACTGGGTCACACAGCCCACTGCGGTCCCAGAGAGCTCAAAGGGTCTCGCTTTGGGTCACTGTTTGTAGGATCTCAGGATGATTGACTTTTGGTCAGTATTTTCCATTCTCACCACAATTTGCACTGGGTCATTCTGGTATAGCATTCAGGCCAAAGATGGCCCAGGTGTGACCAGAGAGTACCTGACACCTCAGCCAAGATAACAGCAGAACGGGAGCATGCAAGGCTTATCCTGAAATCTCAGCATGATGGCCCAGAAGAGTGCACCACCACACCAGCTCACTGTCTGCTCATCCAACCCATACTTCATCAGCTTGTCTATGAGGATCTTACAGGAGACAGTGTCAGAAGCCTTCCTGAAGTCTAGGTAGACAATATCCACTGCTCTCCTCTCATCTACCAAGCCAGTCATTTCATCATAGAAGTTTATCAAGTTGGTCAAGCATGATTTCCCCTTGATGAATCCACGCTGACTATTCCTGATGACTTTCTTGTCCTTCATGTGCCTGAAAATGTTTTCCAGGATTAGCTGCTCCATCGCCTTAGAATCATGCAATAGTTTGGGTCAGAAGGGACCTTTAAAGATCATCTAGTCTAACCCCACTGCCATAGGCAGGGACATCTTTCACTAGATCAGGTTGCCCAAAACCCCATCCAGCCTGACCTTGGACATTTCCAGTGATGGGGCATCCACAACTTCTCTGGTCAAACTGTTCCAGTGTCCCACCACTCTCACCTTCCCAGGGATCGAGGTGAGGTCGATCGGCCTGTATCCTCCGTCTTGCCCTTCTTGAAGATAGGAGTGACATTTGCTTTCCTCCAGTCTTTCAGCACTTCTCCCAGTCACCACAATCAATCAAAGATTATTGAGAGTAGCCTCTACAATGACTTCAGCCAACTCCCTCAGCACTCATGGGTACATCCCATCAGGACCCATGGATTTAGATATGCTCCATTTGTATAAGTATTCCCTGACCTGATCCTCTTCCACCAAGGGTGTGCCTTCCTTGCTTCAGACTTTTCCACAGTCTCTGGGACCTGTGATTCCTGAAGGCCAGTCTTGCTAGCGAAGACTGAGGCAAAGAAGGCATTTGGTACCTCAGCCTTTCCCATGTCCTGTGTCACTAGTGCCCTTGCCCCACTCAGCAGTGGGCCAACGTTTTCCCTAGCCTTCCTTTTTCTGCTTATGAACTTACAGAAACCCTTCTTGTTGCTCTTGACATGCCTTGCCAGCCTCAGCTTCAGGCCTTGGCTTTTCTAACCGTGTCTCTGCGTGCTCAGCCAGTGTCTCTATATTCTTGCCAGGTTACGTGGCTCGTCATCCATCCCCAGGCAGAGCCCATGCATTCCAGCAGTGCTCTCATGCAAATCACACCTCCACCTCTGCATCTTCCTGAAGAGCCTCTATCTCTCTATTGCAGTGATGCAAGCCATCACACCCTGTCTCCTTGATCCCAGCAAGATCATAGACCTGCACAGAGATCTCTAATTGCTTGTGTTTATTCCTCATGCTGCGTGCCTTATTGTGCAGGCACTTCAAGGAGGCACCTGGCACGCTGATTTCCTAGAAGGGATCTGGAAGGTTTCCCTGTAATCGTGCCTTGAAGGTATTTCCTTACTTGCATACAACTGCTTGAGATGACCCTACATAAGCCTTGTTTCGTTGATTGTGTGTTTCCTTTCTTTCATGTTACCCCAGGTGCCCTTTGCTTGTGAGCCCTGTCCATTACTCCCTGTCAAGGCTGCTAGTAACTCTGTCCCTCCCTGTTATTCCTAATTTAGTCATTTGAATAACAGTTGAATTTAAATAAAGATTGGATACTGTATTCTGCAGAGAGAGGAAAACAGAATTTAAAGTACTGTAATTCTGCATAATTTTCTGCATGCTGTGTGTGCGTTTCCTGGTCTGAAAAGGAAATAAAATGGATACTGTAAAAGATGACTAAAAGCATTTCTTTGATCTGCAGCCCTTCAAGACTTTTCTTGGAGCCAGCTCAGGCTCTGGAAATGCCAAAGAGAACAAGGAGTAAATGCGTCAGGGAGACAGAGCTAATCACTGCAGAACAAATCCATGTTTTACAATATCGGAGGTTTGTGTTGCAAAAGCCAGAGCTCCAGGAGGTATCTGGAGAAGCTGTGACAATTCACAGAGGCTGACAATCTTCTGCCGCAGCTCAGTGTTAGCTGCAGTGTCAGTGAAAACAGCTGTCACTAGCCTGGGACTGCTCCTTTCCCCCATGAAGTACTTGCACTAGATGAAAAACAGGAGAGTTCTTTACTTTGTACTGCTGGCCTTGTCATTCTATTGTGTGCAAAATACTTGGCTCTTACATGCTTCCTATTTGAGATTTTATTCTTCTAGCTAAGTAGTGAAATAAGTCTTGTTCTGCACCACTGAAATGAATGGAAACTTTGTAAAATGTAAACATAAAATCAAGTGTGATGAATAGGCATCGAACTTTGGCCATCTCTCAGTATTGCAAGAAAACAGAAATGCACTCTTCATTAAAGAGATTTATTTATTTCTGAGGTATCCTACTGTTACTGAATTATCATCTCTTAAAGCTCTTCAAAGAATTAAGAGCCATCTTAAGCCTTGTAACTGCTCCAAATGCAAGGCATTTTCAGTTGACTGGGTCTTCTGTAACTTTAAGACATACCAATAAATTTTTATTTTTAAATTAATTGCATTTAAGCATCTGAAGTACCAAACCTCCTAAATCAAAATATTTAGGATATACCAAACCCTAATAATGAAAATGCACTCACCTGCGTGTGCTTCTTCCTTGAAAAACGGAAAAATGAACAAAAATGGACAAATGTGAATTACACCAATCAATACATAATGAGAAGATCCTTAAACTTGTACGGCAGTAGTTAAAAACTGAATAGATCAGGGTAGAATAGAACCATATAGGTAAATACCTCTAAGAAAAGATGCAGAGTGGTAAGTTATTACTCAATGGAAAAGTGCAAATGAAATAAAGTTGGTTTTAATGCAGGGTGTTTCCTAAATGACTTAACCTCCACAAAGATGTATTTTGACACTGGTACCATCATTGCCATTTCCTGATGGACAGAGAAAACAAAGGCATGAAAAATTTATGAAAACATATGTTTGTATTAGTAGGACATAGGATATACAATTAGTCTGTTTTTGTTTTGATTTTTGTTCACAGATTCTTTTCACAATTACTTTCTGGCTACTGCTTAGGCAACACCTCACTGAACAGAAAGCACTTCACCTAAAAGAAGCTACTTTATCTGAGGTCAAAGTTGGAAGTGAAGAAAATGAAGAAGAAGGTAAAGCCAGATCCAATTTAGTCCTTCAGTCATGATAGGAGTTGCAGTTACTGCATTTCTGTGATGCTGAAAGCAATTAGCAAGATACCTGTTATTAGCGAAGAAAGATATTATGAAATCTATGTGCAACTATCTCTTGGGTTATAAAAATAGAACAACTTTGAACTTTAGAAATTCAAATAAAATGAGAATTCTCTTTACTGGAAGGTAATTAAAATGACTCATTTGAGAAATGTCATGGAACTTTCAAATAATCAGTTTACTCCTATGTCCCAAACGCAAACCAGCAGATTAATTGCCCGAAGAGTTTAACCACAGGAGAAGAAGAGTTGACACGGGAAAAGTCAGTTGCTAAGTTCCTTGAAAGTTGTGTTTGTACATAAACACTTGTACAAAACCAGAAGTTAAACTGCTAATTTCAATGGGAAAATAAGCATGTATATTTTTAGTGTAGGGTCTCATGCTATCGGAAGCATACCTGAGAGCAAAGTTTACTGCTACAGTTTCAGCTCATCTAACAGCTTTGTGGCCTTTTCTCTCTTTTGCTAGTGCGCACATGTTCCCCCAAACCTTCCTTGCCCTTTTCTGTCTCTCTGGATGCTGATCTGAACAAGTTCAACTCACTGAAATGGTAGAAAGCCAGCCCTGGAAGCAGTGATGTTGTTTCCTGTTTGATTAATTACAATATTTGTCTCAGTAAAACATCTGATCAGTGTCAGAGCTGAACACTGCAAGGATTTGCAAGGAAAGAGTCTGAGAAGAGGGATGGTGCGTGGGACAAGAGGAATAGGCAAGCCTTTTGATGGTGAAGTCTCAATATTCTTCTCAATGGGAAGAAAAGCATTATAGCTATGTGCCATGAGTTTGACAAGCCCTGTTATCTAGGTACTTGCTGTTGGGGGGACACCTACCCTGTCCTCCACAAGCCTCACGAGGTTAATAACTGGGGAATCCTGACCTCTTCATAGGGCAAAAGCAGCTTGTCTTTTCTGGAGTGGCTCAGGTACAGTAGAAGCAGCTGGGTAAGTTGTAGTTTCTTTGAAAAACAGCAGTGTTAGTGTAGCATTTATATTTTCTAAGCTTGTTTGATTTTATGTTAATGTTTTCTCTTGCTTGTGGTTTTTGGAGATAACCACAACATGCTCTAAAGGACAAAAATTCAAGACGAGAGTTTAAACTTTAAACTCAAGATGAGAGATTTCTGATGGTGCTGGTGGTTTCTTTGGTTTCCAGTTTAAAAGGTTTCTTGCCTGGCAGTATAGGTATTGCCATGGAAAGTGTTTTGACTGTTGCCCATTATGCAACCCTTAGGCTCTAATTTTCTGCTACAGCTACCTGCATTTCAGAAAAGGTGAAGGACAAGTGTCTGGTAAGGAAGTATAGCTATGCACCGTATGGCTCCAGTAACAGGGCGAAGCTCATTCTTTCCCCTTCTCTGGAGGCATGTAGGAATCAGAAATAGTCTCGAAGGAATGTTGTGTTTTTAGTTCCTGTATTGTGTGCAGAGATTTTACTTTCCACCCATTTCAATTCTTACTAAAAGTCCCCAGAACAGACAGAGGCCAAATGTGACTCTGTATTTGCAGAAGAGGAGTTGCGAGAGGGAGAAGTGGCAGAAGAACAGGAGGAGGAGAAGAGAGAGGAGGAGGAAGAGGATGATGAGGATGAACAGGATATTATGAAAGTCCTGGGGAAGCTGGTGATGGCTATGTTCATCAAGTACTGGATTTACGTCTGTGGGGGCATGTTCTTCTTTGTCAGCTTTGAGGGTAGAATTGTCATGTACAAAATCATCTATATGGTACTGTTTCTCTTCTGTGTGGCCCTCTATCAGGTAAGTGAGAACTGTGTTAACTAAACTTTGTCTTTGAATTCAATGATTCATGCCTTTAACTTGGTAATAAAGTAGCTCCAAACAGAAGTCATAAACAGCATGTTTGTACTTTAGTTAGATACAACATAATAAGATAATTTGGAGGAGTTAAGACTAATTCTCCTCTGGCTTTTGATTATAGTGACAGGCAAAGTGCGCATAAATCTGATGCACACAATACACATCTCTCCTGTGGGACCCCTCCCCTCCTCACCCCGAGCCTTGGAACCTGTGTGGGAAAATTCTGGGCCTGTGCACGTCCCGCATAGCCACCAGTTTTTATGGCAGCTGGTCCACACAGCATCCGCACCCCAATGAGCATGGAGTCCCTCTCCTCCTAGACTTTCATCACCTAATAGTGATGAAACTGAGCAACTGAAACTGTCCCTGGCCCTTACGTCTGTGGCCGTGTCCCAGCAGACATTTTTATATGAAAGTCTGTACTTGAGTGCATGTGCATCAGGAGTAAAAACTGTATCTCAAGGAACTGTGGCTGCTGTTGCATAAGTGTTGTTTACTTCAGACCAGCTAGGAAGAACAGTATTCTTTGTCTTTGTTTGCCAGTAGTGTTGTCAGTATTTTTGTCAGTGTCTTTGCCTTCAGCTTGTTTCAGCATCTTTAGTGTGTGATTTTCAGGTGCACTATGAATGGTGGAGAAGGATTTTAAAGTACTTTTGGATGTCAGTGGTTGTTTACACAATGTTGGTACTTATCTTCATCTATACATACCAATTTGAGTCATTCCCTGGGTTGTGGAAGAACATGACAGGCCTGGATGAAAACAAGTAAGTGTTTTTGATTAATTTCATTTTTTTCTTTGGACTTTCAGGTTCAGTGTGGTGGAATGATCTGAGAGTAGTCTTCTTATGGCGGAAAAACATCATGAGACCATGCCCATGAGGCGTAGCTGACTTCAGGCACTCAGCTCTGAAGCCGTAGGTTTATAGGTGCAACAATAGAGATGAGCAAGGGCATGAGAGGGGCTCAAAGAGTCATATTTCCTCCCATCTGCTGCCAAGGCCTTGGCATCGATCCGGTTCCCAATGCAGTGCCAATACTTTTCTCTGCCTCTTTCACTGTAGGAACAATATTCGGGGAGAGACTTAAGGATAGATGTGCAGGATGTCTGGAGCTGATGAAGGTGGACCTGCCCTCCTGATAATGAGGAGGGCTGAGATTCTTCCTCCTCATGATGTGTTGGGCACTTCTCAACAGGAGCTTATGTGAGAAAGTATATGCGATTTGAGTGGATCTCCAGTGCAGGACTTTCAGTCAGAGACAATTCATCTAGTTCAAGAGATCTGTGGCAGGGTTGGTTCGTTTGACTCTGTGCATTTACAGTATCTCTCTACATTACTGAGTCCAAATGCAAGATATTTGCACTGTAAAACCTGCTGCTTTAGAAAAATTTTAAAAAACAAAACCATATAACAAGTACTAGCCCCTTTCCTATTGCTAATGGTTTGTAATAATGTCTCATGGCAAGAAAAAAGATTTTGGTGTGAAAAGGTGGCTTAGTGGCTTACTTTTTTTTTTTTCCCCCCCCAGACTAGCAGACCTCGGCTTAAAACGGTTTTCTGTGGCTGAGCTATTCACACGCATCTTTATCCCCACCTCCTTTCTACTGGCATGTATCTTACACCTTCACTATTTCCATGACCGGTTTCTCCAGCTCACTGATTTAAAAGCTGTAACCAGCAAACAGGACAACACTATTTACAGGTAAAGAAACAAAGTAAACAGAACTATTACCTATATGAAAATGCTGTTGCTGACTGTCTTGTAATGCTGACTTTTCATTAGATGTTATTTGCCTTTGCTGTGACTACCTGGCTTAAAAAGAAAGTGCTCAGTATCCAGCATCCCGCTAAACAAACGACAACCAAAGTATCTGTCTTCCCTCACTTTCCTCTACACACTGAGGTTTATTATTTTGGGATACATTTTCAAAGGTACTAATGGTATTTATGTCTTTATCTCATTGGCTTTGACATTTAATGGGAGTTAGATGCTTAATTGCTATGTGTGCCTTTTTGTAAGTCCTGTCAATAATAGGAAATACAACTTTTAATTTGGATCACTTCTGTTTTTCAATGTCTGTCTTGAGGGCCAAGTGAAGATTGGGAGGTCTTTGGCAAATAGGACATTGACATTGGACAGTTAGTCCTTTTTGTAAAGCTGAATTCAGGAATGGAAAAATCCCAGTCCTGTGGTCAGTCTTTGAAGTACTGAGCCTTGGCTATGCTAGCACTTTGAGACATTCAGCAATCTCATCCAGAAGTTCGTTAGCATTTTTTAATGATTCTGGGACCTCACTTTTCCTGTGTTTAACTCTTCCATATTCTCCTGCATAAAAACATATCTGGCCTAGGATCCCACTCCAGGAGTATAAGAGAGAGAAATGATTTCATAGTTCTTAGTGTCATATTATGCAATGACATAAACTCTAATTCTTTGAAGAAACCAATTTGTTTAGACACTATTTTTAGAGTGTTTACCTGTGCAATGATAAGTGTAACTCAGGTGCACTTCTGTGAATGGGGACTAGCTGCGTAACATCACGTACGCCACAGTGTGTTGTGGAATAATGACAATTTTTCTTAATGGAGAATGCTGCTCTAGGACTTGCTAGGCTTACAAAAGCATTTCAGATATTTTTCATGTATTCAATTTAATACGAAGCTACTTTACAGTGTATGGTACAAGTATGTTTGTGTTTCCCTATCATCAGTGCATGAGAATAGGCTCTACTTTTATAGAATGCTTCTACTTTCTGTATTTAAATAATTGCTAAAACCAGAACAAATCAAACTTGACAAAATTTCCTTACAATGTTGTGGGGTTTTTTTAACTTACCTTCTTAAATGGCTGTTTGCATAATACCTTTTGCTTTTCTTGAATTGCTAAATGTGATGGTGGATTCAAGGGCCCCTTGAAATGGCCTGTGAGCAAACTTTCTTTGCCCATTAGCAGACTTCTTGTGCAGTGACGGGGCCACATTAGTTAACGTCTCTGAACTGGGCAGCCAAGCCCTGAAGCTGGAGCCCAGAGAGGTGTCTGAGCTGAAACAGGCATTGTTCCTGGGCCGAGGCATTTGGAGGAAGGTGTTACAGTTTGCGGTAACTGCACAAGCTCTTTTCTAGCCCAAACACTTTGCACTAGTGCTAAGTAACATAGAAACAGCTTCCACCTCCTTCCTAGTGCAATCCAGTAGGCACAAAAGGGAGAAAAAACTCCAAGGCACTTGCAGGATTTAGGTGGGTTCGTGGTACAGTACACTCTGCCTGTGAAACCGCTATTTGCAAATCTTTGTTATACGTGAAAGATACCAAAATAGTATACAGCTCTCCAAACGCTGGCATGAGGAGAGTCACTGTGACTAAAGTCACATCATTCCTAAATGATGGAACCACTGATACTAAAGGCACAACATGTTTTCAGTGTCTTGTTGAGGGCAAAAATTTTTGCCAGGAGTAAGTATCCTTGAGATATGGTGCTGAAAGTAGACATTTGTTGTCACACCAGGCTTTTTACTAAAGTAAAGTGGCAGGTGAAATGGATTGTGTGCTATCATTAGCATTATTGTCTTGCTACTATAATGCTACTTTTTAAGTCTAAATGTGTACTACGTTGTGGTAAGCTATAAGATAAGTAGCTGGATATTTTTAAGTCTTAAACGTGGCATATGTGCTACATTTGCCATTTTGTGGTGTTTCACAATCACAATTATCATGTATATCATTTGTTCCTCCTCAGAAGCTTTCACGAGTATGTTAAATGCCCAAATCAGAACACTTTTTCTGGTTTGTACTACTATTAACATTGCTTGATGTACGAAGATCCAACTGTTTTCTTCCCCAGATGTGATAAACCAGTACTAAGCATCAGCCAACGTTACAGTTCAAAGCTTCAGGATGAGAGCTCAACTGGCGTTTGTATTGATGATGCATAAAGCTGGATAAGAACTAGCACAACAACCAGCTCCAGCTTAACAGTAATGCCAGCCATAGAAATAAATTGCAGGGACAATTAAAACACAGATTAAAGACTCATATGTGTATGTGCAGTTTTCTTACAGAGCCACTAAAACTTAATTTTCCCATTTGCTTTGAAAACAGTAGCATTCACTCAACAACTGGTTCAACTTTCAAAACTGCTTTTATGTTGCTTCTCTTGCAACAAACAAAAAATTTTAAATGAAGAAACTAAACCTTAATTTTGAGTAAGCAGACACAACTTGATCCTTTTAATAGTGAACTTGTTAAAGTAACCACAGCAGATGCGAGCTAGTCATGCCATTAATAGGGAAAGCAGCTCCAGTTCCTCCATCTGCCCCTGAACTGTCATGTATGATCATGATATTATGTTTGTATCTGACTGAAGAGACCCTTTAAAATTGTTGAGACTGTTCATGTGTTAAGATGCTGCTTCACATGAGCAACGTCTGCAGAGTGAGTTCAAGAGTAAGGTTCTGCCAGCTGCAAATAGAGGGCACAGAAACTGGCACGCTGGAACTGGCAGAGTGAGTGTCTCAGTTTTGCACCTGCGAGAGAAAGAAAAATCCTCTGATTAGGACTTTTCAAGTGCATTTCCTTGCCATACCATGAATTATGGTATGGCAGAGATAAAGGCTGCAAGGTAGATAATTTATATGGTATGACACTCCTTTAACTAAAAAAAGAAGCAAATATCTGTTTTTAAAAATACAAATATTCTAAGGCTTACTTGAAATAAAGCAGTAGAGGTTGTTCTTACATTTTGGGGACTATGAGAGGTACCTGTAGTTCTAACTGAAGTTGCATATGGTCTATATGTCTTAAGTGTTACAAACTTCCTAGACTTTTCACTGCAAGGTGTGTTAAGCTTTCAGATTGTGCTTTGTTACGACAATGTATCTCTCTTGGTAGACAGGAAAGTGCATTCATTCCTATTTAATGGTTTGCTTTTCTCTCTCTCTAATTCATTTCCCATTTTCATCTCATGCATTCTTGTGCTTTCATCTCCCACCTCATAGCCATGCCAAAGTCAATGGCCGTGTTTATCTAATAATTAATAGGTGGGTACTTCAGTTCTTCCTTTCCTTTAAAACAGATGTACCTTAACTTTTTTGTTACTTCTTAATTGCCTTAAAACAAAGTGTGTTCTTGCTGCACAGTACTGTGAAGTGAGCAGGGAGATAATGTGGTTCAGGTATTGTAGTCTCCTAAAGCTGGTGAAGCAATTATTATATCTCTCCTGCATATTTATACATTGTGAGTTCGTCTCCCAGCTGGGAATTCTTCTCTTAAAGTTTGCCCATGCCTCAATACAGGAATAATTGGTGCTATTTGTAATTGACTGGAGACAATAGGCTTGATTGAGGAGGCTCGTTTATCTACCCTTTGTTTGTGCACGGAAAGATGCATGCCTGCATGTGCACACGTACCCAGAGACACACAGATACACACAGACACATGTTCCTGTCTTCCTCAGAAGCCCCTAAGAAAGGGAATATGAGGGCCAGGTCAATTAAATGTGCGATGTGTATTATGAGTTTGTACAGACTGAGATTTCCCAGTTCAGAGACAGAAACGGAACACACAGTACACTGAAACCACTGCATGCTAAGGCTGTTAATTCATGGGCTGAGTTGGGTGCTACAGGATCCAAACTACAAAAGCCCCTATTGCCATCATTGTCATCCTTTTATAAGTGGCATCTTGAAAACAGTTCCATAAAGTAGATTTCTTTCAAAATATTTGACTGGAGTAAATGTGGGATTTTGTTTAATCAGCTCTGAGAATAGGAAGACTTCTGAGTTTGTTGTCACTACTGAATATAAACAGAAGAGCCAAGAAAATATCTTGTTCAGATGTTTGTGCCTGCCTGCTTTAACAAGAAGTTAATTTATGTGTCATGTTCATGCTCCTTCTTCAAATGTCATTACATAATTTAGGCGAGGGTTCTTAAAAGTTGACCAGAGGTGGAGATCTGGTCTGTAGGCAGCCTGTGTGTCAGGGAGCAGTGAGGGCAGGCAAGCCAGGGGCCGAGGGGCATGGCTGGGCAACCAGGCTGGGCCCTTACCCACAGGGAGTGAGGAATGGGAACCAGCAGTTGAGGGTCAGGATCAGCTCCAGAGATGGCAACAAGTGTCAGCCACCACCGGGTGAGCTCCCAGAAAGTCCATAGAGATGAGCCAAATCGGTGGTGAAGGCAGGGGAAGGCGGGAACCAGTCTGTGTGTCAGGCTTAGGGTCAGGGAGGCATGGGGGCAGGCGCAGACACAGCTGCGGTGCAGCCGCAGTGTAGGGGCAAGAGCCTCAGCGTGAAAGCAGCTCCAAAAGAAGGGAGAGGGACCCCCTGCACTGAGGCTTCCTGGCCTGTTTCCATACCCAGACACATACCAGCCAGCTGGCCTTGGGCGCAGGCAGCAAACCTCCCTGCAAGGGCAGGGAAAATGCTCGGGGTTCTGCCGTAGAGGTGCGGCACTGCGTACTCGGTTTGAATCTTCCACACCAGAAGTGCAGGAGATGGGTCACTCACGTTCTGCAGAGCAGAAGGCTTTCTGTTGTTAAGGCAGTGCATACCAGATACTTGAGAAATTGTTTTGAGCCAGAAAGTTTCAAGCAATTCATAAACTGATTGCAAAATGTTATCAAAGGCAAAAGATGTTTCATGATGCATCCAGTAAGTTGTTATGAATTAATCTTCTGCTCTCGCAAATGACAAACAAATGAAAGTACTAGGAGTCCAACAAGGACCTGGGGCACATGACTGATTTTAGTGCCCCTGAAATTGCTCTGATGCCTAAAAGTAGATCTACTAGTATATTTCTCATTATTGATACCCTATTTAATGAACTTGACGGTAAGAAATGCTCAGTTAAAAGCGTTAGGACAACAGCCTTCAGGGCTTGTTGTCTGCATTATTATTTAGTTATTTCTCTTCCTAAGTGTCAGACACAATACCTTTGTGTTATTTTGTATAATTTCCCACCAGTATGTGGTTTCTAGCCTGAAGTTATATCTGACTAGCTGTGAAGCCTGTATGGGTAGCTTGTTTAGATATTCCAAAGTAGTGCAGTTTTTATATCCTAATACCTCAGTGTTGTCTGTTACATGATATCATGTGATCTTGTAGTAGGAAAAAAAAAAAATAGAAGAGGGAAAACAACCCTAGCAATAAATGAGGAAGTTTGGAAAGAAAGATTCCAAGCAGACTAACTTTCTGAATAGTGGGCAGAGCTTTTTATCTGGCCTTGGATCTCCTGAGCACATGGTGCCGTGCTCAAGCCTACTGATGCCGATGGAACTAAGCGCCGACATACTGAAAACTAAGCTTATACTGAGGCTTTATCAGATATGTATATTGCATGTACCCACCTTTATAACCCCATCACCTTCTGGATCTCCTGGATATGAGTGGGAGTTATATGAATAAGAGAAAGATGAGTCCTCTCATACAAAATCCTCTAGGGTTACTGTGTTTCTGTCCAGTTTACACTGAGGTAAGTCGTTACGTCCTTGATTTACACCAGTGTGAATGTAGATCTTTCCATTATAAAAGTCAGTTGGGAAGATCCCTCATTAAAATCAATGCAATTGCACGTGTCCAAAACCTGTCAGATTATATGGATACTTTCATTTCATGGGGCCTTGCTTTTTAAATGGGCTCTGGTAATTTATAGTAACTGGAGATCTCCATAACTTTTGAATTGAACTGAGAATTCATTCTCTCTTCTTTATACATGACCTTCCTGCTGGTACTTTGTTAGAGTTTTAGGTAGATGTGCAAAGTCAGATTATGTCATTTTAGGACGTGTTATTGTTTAGTCATTTTACAGAGATTTAGATATCCTTTTAGTGTATACGCTAGCTTAAATATGAAAATGAAGTATATTGGACAAAAAGCCCTGTTTTCAGTGGCCAAAGCTACTGAATATATAGTTGAGTATAAGAGATTTTCAGATTATTGGACACTCTGGTTCATCACCCAATCCCTGACGAGGGATTTTAGTAATCATTGTCATGAATGTATTTATTCAATGAGATTTTTTGGTGCTTGACTGTCTTGTTACACTTGTACTTTTAAAGCACCTTTTCTGCTTTTTGGTAATTGGCGTGATATTTCTACTTCAGGATTGCTAGTGAACTTTTGGTAGTTTTTCCCTCATTTGAGCCACCAAAGTTTCCATCTTGAAGAAACTGCAACTCCCAAATATTTGAAAAATAATTCTACTTGTTTGACTTTCTCGTTAACTGCTTAGCCTATGCTGTTATTTTTTAATGATCAGATGGATAAATCTAGATTTTTAGTTTCTTGAACTGTAAAAATCCTAGTTAAAATTGGCCGAATTTCCTGTCTAAATAATAATAGCCCAGAATTTCACATCATAAAAAATAAATCCCTGAGATGGTGCTGTAGCATATTAAAGTTACTTACGTTAGTCCAGGAAAAGTCTTAACAGATGCTTGAAAGTATGCTGAGTGCAGTAATTTCAGTAGCGTAAGTAAACATTTACTGACCTGATTGTATAGATAGGCACTTGCCAAAGGGAGACTTTATTGCAAGAAGCTGTATTCAGGGGGCCTATTTATCGCAGTAAGTGCTGGATCAGGGAATTAGAAAAGGTGGATTTTCTGCAAATATGGGAGGCAAGTCCCAACAGCACAGCTGGAGGAGAAAAAAGAAAATATCTGAAGCCATAAGAGAATGTCTCTTTTCTCAGTAAAGAAAAGATATATACTGAATAAATCTCAGAAAAAATGGTACCATGGCAATTAGAAATACTATTTCTGTGTTAAATCAGTTGTATCTCACTTTTGGTAGTCTGAAAATTACTAATAGATTTAGTAAGAAACAGTTAAAAATCTAAGGAAAATTCTCTTTGAGATGTAGAAAAGAGAGAGAGAATGAATGGCACTATCAAAGACAGACATGATAAAATATACTGAAGCCACAGCCATGGAATTTTTGCTTTTGTTTGTTCCCAAACCTATAGCTAGAAGAAAATTTTGCAAATTCCTTGGCTTCCCAGCTGCATCTTTCAATTGGAAGAAGGTAGAAGTGCATTTACAGTAATCGGATATTGGTGATGATTCAGCTGCATTACTTACAGCATGGTACAGCATTGACCATGTTTAGCACTGGTGTAAATACGTTGCCCCCTTTCCATCTGTGCTGCAATTCCATGTTTCTTTCTAGAAGCACCCTGTGAATGTCATGATGGCATGTTCTTGGCATCAGAAGGCTTCTGCAGATGGAGCAGGAGAATGCTTTATGACTTGTGATGTAGCATGACATATTTGTTGATGACCTTCTTTTGTAACCCCTCTGTTCTCATCTCCCTTTTTCTTTCTGTTCCAATTACTTTGAGCAGCCTCAAGAAAAAAATACCAAACCACCAAAATGAGTAAGTCCCCTATGAAGTCATGAAATGTTTCCTTTTAAAAAATGTCATTTCATGCTTCTACATCTTAAACTCTGACCATTTTCTCCACTGGGGAAAATGTCAAGTTTAAGTGTCAATACCACTCATTACTAACTAGCCATTAGTATCTGAGTGAGTAGTAGTTACTAATACATTCCAACTCAATTTGCAGTGTGTGTTTGAAGAAAGTACCAGAATCATTAACTTTTCCACTTCTAAGGCATTTTCCATGAATGGTTTATTTTTTCTAATTATACATCTTGAAAAAGAAAAAGACTATGATGTCATTACTGCTCAATTTGCTGACACACTACTGTTTACCAACAGACTGGTGCACCAAGATGGAAGCCTGCCTGACATAACTATGATGAATTTAACAGCCAGCAGAGAAAAGGAAGAGGATAAAATGCTGGAAGAAGCTGGTGAGAAAAGAATGGAACAACCAGAGGGGGAGGGGGGGAAAAGGAGGGTTGAAAAAGGAAAAGAAGAAGAAAAGGAAGATGAGGACAAGGAAGGTGATGATGATGAAGACAATGAGTCAGAGGAAGAAGAAACTACAGGTAAGCTTTGCAGATTGCAAATTTTGCCTTCCTCAGCCTTAGTTAACAGTGGCAGCAGATAGTTCATTCTTGGTCATCCTTGCTCACTTCAGTCATCAGGTTTTCCTTCTAATTTTACATACAGTCTTTGCCAAAAGTGCCTGAACTGAGCGGATGGTTACTTGTCAATGATTCAACAGGCTACCGTCTCTTCTAGGGAAAAATCATACTGTTTCTGTAGGATTCTGAGAGGATGAAAACAAAAGAAACTCCACCTCTTTCTTCTAGGTGGTTTGGGTTGGATTAATAGGAGGTTACCCCAAATCCCAAGAACTGCTTCAGAGTGAAATTTCTTTATAATAAAGAAAATACACACACGTATTTAATTTCTGATACTGCAGGCTTTCAAGGCACACCACTCCAGAAGTCCCAATGGCTTTGCTTCATTATTCATGTGCACATTAGTGTCATGTTTTTCACTTCTGAATAGGGAATGTGTAATTGATGCCAGATGAACATAAAAATGCTTAAGGGCAGACGTGGGTAAGGCTGATGTTGTCATCCTTGATATTGCTAGGATGAACTCCTAACATGAATTATTTCCATATCTCAGTTTGTAATGTGAGCCGTGAGTGAAAACCGGGGAGGAGCATTTAACACCCAAGGAAGCTGTTTGAAAATGGCCTTACCACAGATTAAGTTGCTTATGCCAATATTCACAGGACTGTGACACATAAATAGGGACGGGGTCTTTGTCAAGGTAAAATGGCAATGCATCTGGCTTAGCTGCTGCAGGGAAGATGAGCTGGAACTATTTCCCTTTCCTGGCTGGGAGATCTTCCCTCACAGAGGTTTTCATGGGCCGTGGAAAATTTTCTTGGCCAGCTCTCATGTGGTCTGTGAGGGGTGGTGAATTCGTTGCAGTCTGGCCATCCCTGTATGCTGGAAAGGCTTGGGGACAGAGGCCAGCCAGTGGGGGTTACCCTGTGCAACACGACATGCAAGCAGGGAAGCGGGGAGCTGCAGCCTTCTCACAGGGGCCCCCCCTGCGCCGCAGCGAGTGGGGCTTGGCAATGGCACAAGGTGCTGCTTGCCATGTGTGATCCAGCTTTAAGCTGTACATGCATTTATTTCTATCAAGGAGTTATATCATATTTATATAGCCATGTGGCTGGAGTTTTGACATTATTTTAACATGTTCACCTGTGCAGACTTTATTACACAGTGATGTACAATTTTTCAGTGGATGCAGTCAGGCCCGTATTTTATCCCCAGTGCAAGTAGTGCCTGGACATGCTAGACAGAGCTCGCGACAGTACCTTATCTACCTGCTCCACTTAACTGGCACTGTCTAGATATACCTTGCATGGTGGCAACACTGCGAATGAAAATAAATGCAATGAAAGAATGGGTGAGAACATCTAATTCTATAAATAAAGATTTTCCTTGAATATGCTCATTGTGCCTATAAAAGCACACCTGTAGGATTAGAGTTCTATAGCTTAATTAATTTGTCCAGTTTAACTATGTACTCATGGAATTTACATCACTCAGCATTTTTATTAGGTTTTTCTAAGTTGTGGTTGGAGAAAAAGGGCAGAAGAAAAAAAAAGGGAATTTGGTTGTCAGATATTCCAAAAGTCTGCCTTTTCACATGAGTGTGCATGTGGCCTTCACACAAATACACATGGAATAAACATCTTGGTTAGCTTTATACATAAAATAACCAGATAACTTGAAATAATTACATCCAGAAGCTGGTAACTCCTTTGCGTTTTTACCAGCTTAGACAGTCATGTGTTTTGGTGTCACTTGCGAATGTTTCCATCTCTGATGTTAGCTGTAAGAATGTTCTCACAGCATGCAAAATCCTTCCTAATCTCCAAAGTGCTTCTGAAACCCCTAATACGGTGTGAAGACTTTATACTAATATATACTAGCCTGGTGAAACAGTTTTATAGCCAGCCCACAAGCAAAGACAGCACAAAGAGAGCACTGTTCAGCATATGTATTGTCATGTATACTCATGTGTAATAGATGTTGTCGCACGCTTGCTTACTGGGGAATTATTTGGGAGGATTTTTTTTAGCAAAACACAGTCTGTGAAGGGATACTTTCACCCAGCTTCAGGATCTTAACTTGCTAAAGCTCCCTTTTCAACTAGAGAAATACTCAACTGGACTACAGTTTGCCTTGCCTGTTTTACGTGTCTGAACTGGGATGGCACAAATTGCACTCTAGGAGGGTGGGCTGTCTGCAGGGCTGTTCAGGTAACTCTGACATACGAAGACATCTATAGTATAGCTGTCTAAACCCATGTGACAAGAATCCTACTGCTAGTGTGCATGGATCTCTTCCAGGTTGGCTGAAATTTTTCTGAATAGTGGTAGTCTGTGCTTTCTGAAAACAGACTGGGTCTATAGCTTCCAAACATGGAACAAAATCCTGTTCTATCTAAGCTGGGTAAGGGCCAGGGCTGAAGTGTCTCAGATCTGGTCCCTGGATGGGATCCCTAAGCTTAGGTTCAAAGATACTGGAGGAAAATGGAGCCCAAGAAGGGCTCTGCTGGAGAGGAACAAAAGCAATATTGGCAAGGGAAGCCACCACCACCACTTCAGAAGTGAGGAATCATTTCAGTGAATGTGGGTGAGAAGGGAGAGCCCCACTGCTAAGTGGGCCTGAACTCCATTTTGTCTTAGTTAACCACTGAGCCATACCTTTAACCTCCTCCTTGTCTTACTCAAAGGCCCAGAAGAGAAGAAGTAAAAAGCTCATCATTGTCTAGTGGAGCATTCCTATTTACAGAGACCTTCTGTTTTTCTCCTCCCAATGGTTCTGATTGAACATCTCCGCAGACCTAAGGAACAAGTGGCACCTGGTGATTGACCGCCTAACTGTGCTGTTCTTGAAATTCCTGGAGTATTTTCATAAGATGCAAGTCTTCGTGTGGTGGCTGTTGGAGCTGCACATCATCAAAATCGTTTCCTCATACATCATCTGGGTCACAGTGAAAGAGGCAAGTGAACACCCACTGTCAAAATCTCGCCTATGGTGGAGGCTTGTCAGCATCTGCTGTGCAGTGACACACCCCAGCATAGGGAGATGCCTTCCTCATGTCAGACCTCACTGAACTTGTAGGATCCGGCTGGGCTTGTCAGCTGCTGGGGACTTGCCTTGACGTCCTCCACAGTGACAATTCTGTCTGCCTAGATATTGTCAGCCCTCCCCTTTCCTCCAGATATTAAGGTTTTGTTAGTCTAATTCTTTGGACTCAAGAGATGTAATCCCTCCCGTGCTCAAGCTGGCTGTGGGCATCATCTGGGGATCGAGGATGTGGAAGAGGATTGGGAAGGAACATCTAGGAAAATTACTTAAACTGGGTCTGGTGCTGAAGAAACAGGAACGTGGAACTACACCTAAAGAAAAAGGGAGCAACACCTTTAGCTGTGTCTTTGGTGTGGGCAGTGTGAGTTCTCTACCTGACATAGCTATTCTTTGAACAGGATAATAGGACAGGATTCACTAAAAAACAAAATAAAAAAATCCTTTTTCTCACATCTTTGGGGGGAAAAAGGTGAAGAGGATGATGATGGGTTCCGCAGACACACGGATCTGTATCATCTCTTCTTTGTTTCACATGCACTAAAGCAGCAGAACCAGCATGTGGTCCTTTGTATTTCATGTCTGTTTGTAGGGTGGATGTGCAGTTTTGTAGGTCTAATAGTATCAATATTATGTAGGAGATAAAGTTCTTCCTAAACCAGCTACTAAGTTTTTCCTTCTTCACTTACCACTTTGTGTCTGTGTTATTGTGAATATTGTTGTAATTTTTTTTTCAGTATTTTTCTCACAGTTTCTCTATGTCCCTTTCTTTTGAATTATTTTTTTTTTTTTAATTACTATGGAAAATGTCAGACTTTCTCAGTTCTCTTGTTACTCCATGTAATTTCCATACTGTTTTTGTGTTTTCAGGTGTCTCTGTTTAACTTTGTGTTTTTAATTGCCTGGGCTCTTGCTTTGCCATATGCTCAGTTTCGCCCATTGGCATCAAGTATCTGCACTGTTTGGACATGTGTGATTATTGTCTGCAAAATGTTGTACCAGCTCACATCTATTGATCCCAGCACTTTTTCCAGTAACTGTACATTGGTGAGTACAAGTGCATATTTAACAGGTTTGGCTGCTGCCTTCTTCAGTGAAGAAGAGCAAAAGGAAGCCTATCAAGTACTGAAAACTACAGTTCATCTGATGTATTATTGTTGATTATCATTCCCCCCCACAAGAAACCTTAAACACGTTTTTTATAAAGTGTTGCATTTTCTTTTTAGCCAGGAGAGAATGAAACTAAGGTCAACTTAGAAGAACTCAAAACCTCAGTCCTCTACAGTGGGCCAGTTGATCCTGCAGAGTGGGTTGGATTGAGGAAGTCTTATCCCCTGCTTGTGTACTTAAGGGTAACTTCTTTAATTATCTATATTGAGATATTTTCTTATTTGTGATGAAATTAGCAATGTCTTCGAAATAAATCATCTGCGACACAAAAAAATGTAATGCATGCCATTGATAATAAGGAAGTACAGAGGGGAAGAGACACCAGAAAGCCATATCTGTTACACAGGATATTTCCAGAAGGGATTCAGTACCAACTAAGATAATCTGCATGTAGCAGTATGGCTTTCTTACTCTACCATCTGTTAAAAGCACTCTAAGAAATGTGATATTTAAGAACTCTAAGTAATTAAGAGGTACATAGCTTGCAGGTGGGAAAGCAATGATGGGTCTAATTGGAGTAATTGCCTTGAATGACAGTATATGCTATAAGAAGTTAATTTTTTTAAGTGTCTATTCCTTAGGCATGGCTTAGAAAATATAATGAGTTAAGGGAATAATTCATCAGACGCTAGTAAACAGATGTCTTTTGTTTTTCTTCCTGTTTTTGGTTGATGCCTGTGATCATGTATTGTTACTGTCTTGATTAAAAATCCCTACTTAATATAACAATATGCCAACTCCTGGGGCAAACCTTGCATGTCTCTTCTTAATTTGAAGAATCTCCAAAATTTTGTATACGCAGTTGAAGGTTGTCAGAAATTTGTTAACTGAACAACCACAGGTTTTGATCTAAATAGATTTATTCCTCATTTCTTACCTGGGAGCTTACCTCTGTGTGCTTTTTTTGGGAAGACTTGCCAAGCTCTGGCAGTCAACATATCAGGCCCTGGTAGTGCCTCTGCCTCTCACTCCCTTAGCCATGCACCTCCCACAGTTAAGAATATAAGTGGGGAAGAGCAATTACTGACCCAAGAGTTCTGCATGGAGAGTGAAGTTGCCCAGTGGTGTCTGGCTGGATGCTAGGAGCTTTACAGCTATAAATAGATTTGGGATTAGAAATTATTCTAGAAGGGTTTTCATTGAGTTAGCAAATCAAATGTGTCCTCTGCATAGAGGAAGTTCAGTTCTGTGCTATACGTGAAGTTCCCAGCCTTCGAGTCTTTGTATGTTTCTGATATACTCCTTTAATAACAGACATTTAAAATGTCTACAGTGTTGAAGTGAGGAGCTTATCTAGGATGGATTGTGTAAAACTCTCCCCAACAAGAATAGGAAGCCCAGCGACAGCAAGCAAAAATAACTTCTTGTCAAAAAAAAAAAAACAAAACCCAAACAAAAAAAATGGCACCCGTCTCAGGACATTCTTGTCCCAAATATTTCTCAGTGAACAGAGATCTAGAGATTGCCTCTTCAGCTTCAGTTATGGCTTCCTTGAGGGACTTTCTCTGAGCTGGTCTTTTTAATCAACTTTTGGAGTTGGTTAATACCTCTCTTCTATTGAGCGTAGGGCGGGTCTCCCTGCTGAGGGAAAATAACTCACTCAGAGCCACTCAAGGCTGCATCCCAGTCAGCCTGGTGTTGGGACAGAAGGAGCTGTCTCTGAGTGAAGACTGGCAGATAGACTGTTCATTTAACAGAGTATCCAGGATATATTTGCACTACTCAGCATCCTTGCAGTTTTAGGAAGTTGGTGTTTGCCAGCTGTACCCCTACAGATGACTTTGTGTCTGTACCTCTATCTCCTGCAAAGCAAAGCATGATACATGAGAGAGCACATGTATAGGTCAATGCATTGTCCCTCCCCTTCCTTTCCACAGCTAGTGTGCATTATAGTATTTTTTAATTAATGTCTTTAAATGTATCTTCTAAATGTCAGTATGTTTCATCAAAATCAAAGAAGTGGTAGAAACCTTACTTTGTTTCAATGATAGTGGCTGAGAGTACATGCCAGTGCATCTGGGAGTGTGGAAACACTCGGTGGTAACAGCCATTTGAGTATTTACGGCTTTATGCTTATCAGAAAATTTTATAGCTTCTTGTGGTTTTGATTTTTATTTCATATTCTTCTGATTGTGTCTCCTGCAGAATAACTTACTGATGCTGGCTATTCTGGCTTTTGAAGTTACAATCTACCGTCATCAAGAGTACTACAGATGTCGAAATAACCTTACCGCACCTGTGACTAAAACCATTTTCCATGATATTACAAGAGCGCATCTGGATGATGGACTGGTAAACTGTGTCAAGTATTTCATAAACTATTTCTTCTACAAATTTGGTTTGGAGGTAAATCGCTATATATTAATTTTCTTTAGACTATCATTCCAAACCTTTTGATTGTGTTATTTTTGAATACTCGCTTGAACTGTGTTTGACAGCTGGATGCTTCTTAGTCATCACTCATGTTAGATTTTGCCACAGTTGCTATCTATCTGCTAGTAGTGGCTTTCTCTTGTTTTTCTTTGTATGTGTTACTTATAAGTCAACAAAAGGAATAACAGATGGGACAAGGGACAGAATTGAGGCATATCCTCTCATGCACACACGCACACAGAGGGAACCAGGGATAGCAGGAGCAGAAGAAGAAAGCAGAGGCTAGCAGGCCATCGTCTCTGTTTAAATATTTCTAAGCTTCTTTTGCCTCTGGCTGCAGAAATGCATCCTTCTTTTTTATACTTGTTACTATAGCTGTTAGCAATCTGCAGGAGGAAGAGCTCCAGTGAAAGTGATTGCTGCTTTGTGTCACTAGTGTGAGACTAGTTCTTTCTCCAAAGAACTTTTCAGTAGGCAAGAAACACACAGAGAATTAGGAGAGGCGGGTGCAAAGGAGTGAAGGGATTTTTTTGAAGATCCATGATGTATCCTAAGTGTCTGGTAGATGTCTTATTTAGTAGAAGACCTGCATGTCTGCCTGCAGCAGTGGCCCAGACTGCTGGGGTTTAGGCTCAGCTAATGTATTGCTTCTATTTGCTTCACCCAATTCAGCCGCAAAACATCAGAACTGAACCTGCCTTGAAGGCAAGTTATTGCTGAACAAGTGTGGCAAAAAAAAAAAAAAACAAAACAGCAGCTTCATCTCTGTTCCCATACCTTGTCTGTTTGTTCACAGACACATGAAATGCACTTTCAAAAATGTTTGTAGAAATAGTGATTTTTCAGAAATTTCTATGGCTATCTGAAGAAGGCAACTCCTAGGCTAATGCATCCCAAATCTAATCGTAATGGTACTCTTGACCTATCTATTAAACACTACCACCCCTTGCTACTGATAAGCAGAGTAAACTGTTCACAGCCAGTCTGAGGATTAAGAATGAATGAAAATTAAAATTAATCAGCAAGCTATTTCCGTCAGGAAATAAATTTAACCATCCTAAGCTGAGGAGAGTGAAAATCAAAATAGTGAAGTGCACTGAATAAGTGATTCACTATGAATTATTCACTAAGTTTGAAAACACGCTTCACGGCACTGAGTGAACGGAGAACTTCAAGTGGAACCAGAGAACAGAAAACCTCTGGGATGCAGAGCCTTTAGAATAATAGAGAACTAAAACTGCCTTACAGGAATTGACTGGATTTGTCTGTATCCAGTAGAAGTTGTATGATCTAAATCCCTTTTCTTTTTGTCTGGTTCCCACATGAGGATACACTTTAGTTGTTGCTATTCTTAATAGTTCCTCTTCTTTTTCACATCTGTAAGCACTATCAAAATATATGGCTGTGTAATACATGCTTTACTTGGCAATGGTTAAACATTTCACATATAGACTACTGTGACGATGCTCTTTCCATTCTGTATCTGCAGATATCACATAATGGAAACCTGCTTTAGTGCTGTATTCACATAGTGTACACTCATAGAAGAATATCAAAAATTTGGGGTATTGAGGTGGGGTGCGGGAGGTTGCTGTTGGAGAGATACAAACTGGTTTAGTGTGTTGGTTTGCACAGGGTTGCTGCAGTCAGCCCCAGCACATGTCCAAGCATTCTGTTAGCATCCAGAATAGTTTATCATTGCTGCATTGACTAGCCATCAGGCTGCCAATATTGCTTATGTTTCTTTACTTCTTTTCTAGACCTGTTTTCTTCTATCAGTGAATGTAATTGGTCAACGAATGGATTTTTATGCTATGATTCATGCCTTCTGGCTGATTGCTGTATTGTATCGACGTAGAAGAAAAGCTATTGCAGAGATCTGGCCAAAATACTGCTGTTTTCTGGCATGCATCATTACATTCCAGTACTTCCTTTGCATTGGCATCCCACCTGCTCCTTGTAAAGGTAGGGAAACTTGCTCTTTATGGACAATTACTGCTGCTTGGTTTTACAGAATAGTGCTGGAAAATTGATAAGTATTCAGAAGAAAAGGATGAAGTAATTGTTATAAAGTACTGATTGCATTTTTGCGTGCTTCTGTCATACAGACTATCCATGGAGAAGTGGTAATGCCAACTTCAACTCCAACATCATAAAGTGGTTATACTTTCCAGACTTCATTGTGAGGCCAAACCCTGTCTTCCTTGTCTGTAGGTATTTTAGCACATAGTTGTGCAGTATTTACATGTCCTTTGCTTAAAACATCTGTACAGTGTAATTTGAAGCCAACCTTTTATTTACTCTTCAGTAGCAAGCTGACATATTGTGTGGGAGATTGAATACTAACTCTGGCTTTGTATGTAGTAGAAAAATTCAAAGAATTAGTAATTTCTGCATCTGTTTTTTCCCTATTCCATTATTAATGAAGCGGCATCAAAAAGTATGAATTATTTCCCGTTTTCTAATTTATTTATCAATAAAAATCATAGAAGTTGGCAAGTAGAAAAACTGAATACATGAATAAATTTCAAATCTGTGTTAAATGCATTGAAAATAGCACAGTCTTGGAGGTTCAAAGTGTGGGAAAACAGTCTGGTAACTACATTATATCACCACCACTCCCTCTACCTGTTAGTGACTGAATTTTTCCTTGCAACCACTGCTTTCTCCTAGATGATTTCATGTTGCTACTGTGTGCATCCTTACAAAGGCAGACATTTGAGGATGAAAATAAAGCTGCAGTACGAATCATGGCTGGAGACAATGTGGAAATTTGCATGAATCTTGATGCAGCATCTTTTAGCCAGCATAATCCTGTTCCTGACTTCATTCACTGCCGGTAAGAACTGAATCTTAAACACTTGGAAAATACCGTGCTTCCTTTTTGTAAAGTTCTCTGGTATAAAAGTAACTCTCACAGCTTCCAATTTTACTTGGAATTTAAATTCATGTGTGTTCCCATCTCATAATGTACCTTTTACTACTGTATGAGACAGCAGATAGTTAGCTTCTGGGTAGTCAGCTTCTGGTTTAGAAAAGGGCAGATGAAAACAAGTCTTCCTAACACTGCTGATTGTTTTAAATGCCCCCCGGAGGGATGTTCAGTGATTAATTTGCCTGAAAGCATGTATTCCTTCCATGAATGCCCTGTGGGGCAGCGTTTATGGTGGACTTCAGCACTCAGGTGTCTTCCCCCAAAACACAGGTGTGTTAGCAAGAATCCATTGTAGTCTGAACTTGCCCATGTGTGTTTAATATCACAAAGTCATCAGTCATGTCCTGCTGAGTTGTTGTCTAAGTACAGTCAAAATAATACTCTAATACAAGAAACTATTCTTTGTGCTAATTCATCTAGGCATAAGAACCTTTAAAGTGTCTTGGAAGGACAACTGGCATGTCTTCCTGTTTCTCAACATTGCATGTAAGGTTGTTTAAGAAGGTGAATAATATAAAAAGGAGGCAGAACCTGAAACAGTCTGTTCTGGATGGTCTTCAAACAATGGAGCCATTCCTTTGTGATCATTTCAGCAAACACAGATTAGCTCAGCTCTTCTGAGTTGTGCTGGGCATGGTCTTAATTGAAGTTGTCTCTGAAAGTTTGATGCAGTATTACAAGAATAAATGGGAAGAGTAAGATTTCTTAGCTGTTGTGTTTTGTCACAGTAGGTGTTTGTTTTGTGAATGCATGTTACCAACAGATGTCTGGTGTGAAAGGAGTTAAAAAAATTGCACTAATGTCTAGCAAAATCTCCCTTTTGCTGATAAACTTTTATTTCTTTTACCAGAGTAGTGCTATCACCAGAAACCCTTCTCAGGATCTTTAAGTTGATCCTGCAGTATCTGTTAGAAAAGGTGGCCAAATCTATCTTGAAATAGCTTTGAAGAGGAGACCATTGAAACACATTGAATTGGCTCATTTGTCCAGAGATTTGTAGTCACTCCTCGGCAAAGGGTGAACAGTTCTCCCCTTTGAGTATTCCCAGTCTACACAGTGTACCCTGTGCTCTCTAGATCCAGTAACATAAGCAGAAAGAAGTCATAATCTCTCTTAAAAATGCTCCATCAAGTGGGGACGCTTTCCAGAAGACATCTGCCAAATAGGGCTTGGTTGAGAGGAACGTGTAGCGGAGATTGCCGGTTATTGCCAGTGCGGTGGTGTGCAGCCTAGCAAAGGCTAATACAGTAGTTGCATCAGGCACACTGAGGTGATTGGTCACTGGCAAAGGCCATCACTGCTGACACAGTTGCTGGCAGAAAGAAAAGATCGAATTTTCCCCCCCTTAGTCCAGAAAAAAAAAAATCATTATGAAAAAAACTCTTTAATGATGAGAGTATGTCTTAAGGCTATCTTCAGAAGGGAAAAAGAGGCAGGAAAATTGCTACTTTTTAAACAGCCTCTTTTGGCATATTTTCAGAGTTCCCTGGGATCTGATAGGTATTTCTGATCGTCTGTAGAAGATATTCCCAAATGGCCAGGCATGAAAAGTTTGGAGCACAGAGGATATTCTTTGAAGATTTTGGATGGGAATGAGAGTCAGGTTTATAATGGAGAGCAAAATCCAAGCTGAATTGGCCTGCTGCCTCTCCACAATCCTTTGGGTTAAGTTCTGTGTTTGGTTCATATGCATGGTATGCATCAGCTTGAAGTCATTGGTGGTGTCACATCCATTCAAACAGTCTGCTTGGCATGTGCTGACAAAATAGACCTGTGTGCAGATGATGAACTATATGCAACATTTAATTGGGAGTTTGCAACTTGTATTAAGCAGTAAGTAATATTTCTGGTGGAGACTACAAAAAAACCAGAAAATCAAAGAACGTGATTAGTAGTGGTGAGCTGAACAAATAAATGGTGATCACTTTATACTTGTTCCAGCTAAATACAGAAATCTGTGTGACTTTCATGTGATAGTTTTATGTTGTGTGGATAAGAAGTAGAACAAAAAGAATAAGGCAGAGAAAGAAACAGAACAGGGACATTTTTGTTTGAAAAATCCATCAAATTAATAGAAAACCCATTAATTTCAGGAACAGAGGAAGTTCCTGTTTATGATATCCTTTCTTGTAGATGTTTGAGCAGGTAAGCTGTAACTTCTTTCTTTTTTCGTTTGTAACGTTAGCTTCCTGAATCTGTAATGGTAACATACTTGTAGAACCATGTATATAGGTATAAACAGACCTTCCTTTAGTATGAACTGCATCATAGATGTATTCTTGATCTTGTTCTTGTATCTTTCCTCTCTTTGAGCCCTTAAGTATCTCCTTCAGTGCTTTCACTACAATGCAGATTTTCTCAGGCTTTAGATGATGTTATTTTTGAGAGGTTGCACTGAACATATGCAATCTTAAATGCCTAATTTGCTTCAAAGAAGCACCAGAGAATGGCTGATGGTCTCTTAAAATGATCGAATCTTTCAGTAGGGATTATGAATCTTTAAGAAGGACTCTCAAGCTCTGGAGAATCCACTGAAGAGGTACCTCAGAAGAAAATGTATGTATCTGGCCTCCATCCAAGACAATTTGGATCTGAAAGGGCTGTGTCTAAAAACATTTCTTGCACTTTGCCATAGAAGTTTCAGAATGGTCTAAATACTTAGTAACATGGACAAGAACTTGGTTCAAAGCTTATCCAAGCAAGTGAAATGAAAAATTACATTTCTCCAGATGTCAGTCAGAAAGAGCCAAACAAGTAAGTGAAGACAACCTGATCGTGAATAAATTACAAAGCATTAAAAAAAAATCAGTGCTCAATATTCATGTGTTTTCTGAGAATCATAGAATCATGGAAACGTTATGGTTGGAAGAGAACTCAAAGATCATCAAGTCCAACCTTCTCCCCAATGCCACCATGCCCACTAAACCCACTAATCCATGTCTCAAAGCGCCACATCTAAATGTTTTTTGAACACCTCCAGGGATGGTGAGTCCACCACCTCCCTGGGGAGCCT